TTTCCTGCTCTCAGACATTCTGGTTCTCAGGCCTCTGGTCTCAGATTGGAACTTACACCATTGGCTCCCCTGGTTTCCAGAACTTTGGTTCACCAGCATCCCTGGGCCTCCAGCTTACAGACTGGGAGACTTGTCAGCCTCCGTAATCACACAAATCAATCTCTTATAATAAATCTTTTTCTACTTATCTTATTGGTTCTCTTTCTCTGGAGAATCTTGAATAATACAATTGATATTCTGTGAGATTGTTTATTTCTAAAAGAGCATAACATGGTTTAGGTGTGAATGCCAGGCCAGCTACTGAATACCTGGGGCTATTCCTTTGTCTGTTTTCTTTCTGAGCCGTGCGCCATGCTGAATTTTGCAAGTCCACTGTTCCCTTTTGACACACCAAGGAGTTATACTTCGAAAGACTATACTTTCCATTGCTACAGGGAATGCATTGTGTAGAATCTGGTGTTGACCAGTCAGAAGTGGAGGCTAGTTGCTGTATCTCTGGCCAGTTTAGAAATGGCAGTGATGACTTTTGGAGGCCATTGTGTTGAAAATGTTAATTGCTTGCATGCATGCACAGAGACAGTGGCAATATCATAACACTAAGTTTGGAAAAATGCAATGAGATGCCAAAATTTCTAAAAAGAATAAACAAGGCCTTGCTTGTGATATTTTCCAGAAAAGGCAATGTTTCCAGAATTAGATGTTACATGAATTGCTTCATATTATTATAAGTGTACAATGAAACTCTGATAGATCATTAGACATGTTTCCTCTCACTGGTTAATTCGCTTTTTATAAGACAAGATTTTGGGAACATCATTTGGAGATGCTGGGGAATATCTCTGCTAATCTCTGAAACTCTGAAAACACAGTGGGAGTCTGGCTTTCAGAGATAAACAGATTTGTTTTGCAGAGTTATGAGAGTATGTCCTCCTCACTTAGTACATTCTCTGATTTAAGAGTGCTATGTTTTGTCACATTAGTGTTTCCCATTAAATCAAACAGATATAATATCATCAAATTCTATGCTTTCGGCACCTAAGCAACAACTTGTTCTTGAGCTTTCTGAAGTATGCGACAGATAGTGGGTATCACACATTGCAAGAACCTTTAATTAAGGTTTCTTAACCATTTACAATAACAAAATTTTTCTTTAACCAACACAAAATAACTCAGAGTTAAAAATAAGGTGTCATGCTATTTCCTTTTCACTCTGAATTTTGATGTAGTAAGTCGTTTTAATCTCCAAAAAAAATCTCTGAAAACAAATTTCCAGGGTCTTTCAGAAAGTCTTATCTTTTAATAAACTTGAGAACCTAAGAGTTAAAAGTAGGGTATCCAGATTTTTAAGCACTGGTTGGCAGCCTTTGGTCACTTAATCATGGGATCCCCCAAGAATTCCTAACTGTCCATGTCAGCACCAGTGTTTCTCCTTGCCGAATCACATGTACGCTATAACCTGTGTTCTCCATGTGCTTCTGTTTAACTATCCAGGGTTGAAGTTTTCTTTTCTTTAACAAAATGTATAATCCTATCAACGCAGAAACCCACATTAGAAAACAGTCTTCTGACCTTTACTGGTGAACATATCAGAGGTTTTTCTACCTTAGAACATTCGCAACAACATTCTTTAAGACCACTTTTTGGAGGGGGAGGAACTGAGAGAACCTGGGACACTGGTGACCTCAGAAAGGGGGCTGAATGCACAGTGCCACAGGCGCATGAGGCGGTCAAAACTGGAGGAGATACAGGGTTCTACAAGCCATGCCAGGAACAAATCAGAAATCCTGAGAGTACAAAATGTCAGCTTCCACCATGGGCCATTGCTCTAAGGTTGCTAGTGTGACCAAAACACCAGCCTGGAGTAACAGATAAGTGAGTTGATCTACACCAAATCCTGCAGAGGATCTGAAAAAAAGGAGGAGAAAGAGGGAAGGGAAGGGAAGGGAAGAGAAAATGGTCAGGGTGAAAACAGTTCTCCCAGAGTCTGGAATACTTCCACGCTGAAGGATATAACTACAAGAGGAGCATTCAGCCCACAACCTATTTTTGTCAATGTTTTATTGGAACCCATTTGTGCCCATTTGTTTTCATTTTGTCTTTGGCTACAATGGAAGAGTTGAGTAGCTGTAACAGAGACTGTGCCCACACATCCCCCTCCCCACCCAGTTCCCAATGCTTAAAACATTTACCTGTTAGCCCTTTACAGAAAATGTTTGTTGACCTCTGCATCTTGAGATCAGCTCAGGACAGCCTGAAGCCCAGGGAGAAATCTTCAAGGACCTGATTTCCCCAACTGAAAAACTGTTCAATGCTCAAGCCCTCCAGCCAGCCCTATCCTTGTGGAGTTTATAGTATGGCAGGGAAGACAGATGACACATAAGAAATTACAAACAAAGTGACTAAGAATAAAGGGGAGGTACGTTAATCTCCTAGACTCTTAAGCAGAAGCTCTGCCCTTATCTAGAGAGTTAAGGAAGGCTCTGGAACCAGTGCATTTAGGATGGGACCTTGAGGATGAAAGGAAGGTAGCCGAGGGAAGAGGAGAAAGAAGAGTTCCAGGCAGGAAAACGCACATGCAAAGACCCAAAGGACAGTTGGTTTAAGGGCTGAAAAAGATCAAGTGAGTCTGAGGGGACATAGGTGAGACAACCTTGGAGGATGGGCTGGTTGATTCCTTGGGACCCAGGAATCCTTAACATTGAGGACTTCGGCCCTTACCCCGAGGGCAATAGGAACTAATAAAGACTTTCAAGCAAAAGGAGGGTATGATCACTTTTTTTTTTTTTAAATAACAGCACTCTGATAAAGCTTGAGACTTGGGAGGCCACACCCAGGAAAAAAGACAAGGAAATCATGCTGGGAACATCAGAAATCCCCCCAGATCAAGCAGCGGCTAACCCTCATTTACTAAAGCCAGAAGGATATGTAGTTCAAATGACTCCAGGCAGATGGGCTTGAGGTCATCAAAGGAAACAGTCTCTGTGACGTGACGTAGCCAAGCCAGCGGTGCCCTGGCTCTTGTCACTTCAGGAGATAGCTCCTTGGCTCTGTCACAATCCAGGGTTTTGAATTGGGGGAAGGAGGTGCATTTTTTCTGCTTCCCATTTTCTTTTTTCCCAAATACTATTTTTAAACATGTTGGTCTTGCCTAGACTGAATTCCGGAGAAAGAGGCTGAGGTTTTTCCACATTCATACCAAGATGGTAAAGAGGGGCTCCAGCAGCCACCGAGGAGCCAGGCTCAGGAGTGGGGTGGCCCTCACCTGCACCCTGCATCACACTGAATATTCTCCTTCACTTTGCTCTTATGAGGTCTCCCCTTATGTAAAACCTTTGATTTTACAGCCAGCTTCACAAACTCCCCTTCCCTGAGCTGCTCAGAGAGAAAAAATCAGAACTGTTCCTGCTCCTCTTGAATTTGAAAGTCACTTTCCAAGCCACCAATTTTTCTAAAAAGCTCTTAAAATGATTTTCACTGCTCACATTTGGGAAGGGTAGTAAGGCCCCTTTGTTTTCATCAAAGCTAGCTAATGATTCCTTTCTCCCGAGGATCATTAGAGGAGGAAAGAAATAGTAACTTATATTAAGAAGCGAGAAAAATATTATCTTGCAGGTTGTGGAATGATGGTGTGTGGCAACAATGTGAAAGACATTGTCCGGGATAGGATTAAAAATGGGGCCGTTTTAGCCCCAAGAGAAAAGAAATATACAGGGATCCTCAAGGGACATAAAAATATCCTTTCTTCACAGAGTCACTCACAGTTGAGATGGAGGACTGAGGAACAGCTTCTTGAAGAAAGTAATATTAACACCAAAGTTCCTCGCAGGTCTCCTTTGTCTCTCCATGCATAGCTCTTTCATCTTCACAAAGCAACACATACCTCTAATATTTGATTCCTGCAATGGAACTCAGGCTTTTTTTTTTAAAGCAATTTCAGTGTCTTTTAAAACCAGAGTGGGCAATTTTTTCCCTAAATTGCTTCTAATTCACTTCCAGCATTCTTCAGCTAATATTCCTCACCAGCGCTCTTAGTAGTAGGACACTCAAATGATTTGAGGGGCTTACAATCAAGTGGGGGGAGGGGCGTGTACATTGCTTTTCCTCAGCAGGGAAATGGAGGCGTCAGAGCAGAGCACAAAGTTAGCTAAGTCTGAGCGGTAGGGAGCACATGGGGATAGAGGGGCGGACAGCAGCACACAGAACGAACTTCTATTAAACAAGAGCCTATAAATAAGTCAATACTTTAAAAGTTTAATAAGAACCACTATTAGATCCCAATATTAAGAGTCTCAAGTACAATCATACTGTGTCTCTGAAATGTCTAGAAAGCTATTCCCCCCTCAGAACATTTAGAAATACCACACGTTATTCTCAGTCTTCAATGTGTACATTTTATCTCTGCATTCAAATCATCAGCAACATGTGATTTCTACTGCCTAGGGAAACCTAAAAACTGAAATAAGATTCCAGAAACCAACTTTTCTCCTTCTAATCAGGCACCCAGAGCTCGCATTTCTTAGTATCTAAATTATTAGAGGCTGGGGGAATGAACGTGAGATTGGAGAAAAGGTAAGTCAGTATAGTTCTTTATGAAACCAGCACCAGCTTTCCACGGAATGATTTGTGGTTATCAGTGTAAACAGAATTATGCTTTCATAAAGCCAAGTTAAGACATTTCACTGGCATTTTTACTTTTGGCAGGTTATTCAATCTGTTCGCACATTTGCACAACACATCCCCATACACCACACACTCTCAAAAGCATTGATGCATAAAATAGCATGGCTATGAGTAGGACAGCAACTAAGAGTCCTCTGTATTGTACATAATATTATGAAATCATTCATGTGTTCTGCAAGTTCCTATCCAAGCATTGTCATATTATTTATCACACGACAAGCCTTGTAAATCAGAAGCACAACGCCCCACAGAGTGAACTTCAGAGGAAATAGACTTGCCGAACATGGTTTCCGAATGCTGTGGACAGTAAAATCACTTACCTGTGACAGTGAACTTGAGGAAGCCAGAAGAAACAATGAACTGCACTGCCTTTTCCAACTTCAGTGTTCACCACTATAAAGCACTGAACAGAATTCAAGCTTTTTTGAGAGCATTCTCTATTTGCTTAAGGGTCAATGCCCTGAAGGCTAGCCTAAGCACAGTTCAGTGACATCTGAGGAAAGGTTGAACATGCTCAAAGTAATGACCCCAAACACAGTGTGCTGGGGAAACCCTCTGAGGGGTCGCCAGGCTGGGAAAAGTGCTGATTTCCCTTGGAAAGAGCGGTGAGTCACAGGCAAGGGGGCTGGGGCGGGTGTACCACGATCCTGGCTATGTCCGAGGCTCCTTTTTATAGGCTCTTATTTTGGAAAAGTTGCTTAAAAACATAACAAGGCAAAACAAAACAAAACAAAAACAAACCTTTAAATATTCCCCCTCCATCTGAAAGACTAGTCCTGAAAAATCCTTAGGCCACAGGTCCCCAGAGTTTCCCGGAGACAGATAACCTAAAAGAACATCTGAAATAGCCTTTTGCTCCGATGGCCCTTGCACCCTGACCTGAACAGTCAATAACCTCAAACCCTACTTACCAGATGGAGCCTTGTGTAAGTAGAGAGTAACGATTTTTTTAAAGGTTCTAATTAACAGAAATTTACGCCAAACACATATAGCTTCTCCAATGGTTTTTGTGGTGGCCATATCTGTTCCTCTTCCTTTCTGTCAAACCTTTCGTTTTCTCAAAAGGTTCTTATTCTTTATCTCGCTCCCTGCCTGAGCTAACCCTTGCCTAAGCATGCCTTCCCATGGCCTTCGCACTGCATAGCAGCCAACGTTGGTCAAGTCCCTTTTGGGTGCCTGGCTCAGTTGAAGAGCTTTACGTGTACTGCCTTATTTGGGCTTCTCAATAACCCTAGAAGTTAGGCGCTATCACCTTTATTGAGGAAACTGAAACAGGAGCCTAAGCCCCTGGCCACTCCATGCCACCTTTCCTCCACCCGTGCTCTGAACTGTGCGCAGTGGGCTTGTGTTCCTCAGTTTGCAGAAAATAGGAGCAAATTAAACCATAAGGACATGTGTTCTCAATTTGGAAAAAAGTTTGTTTTTTTGTACATTCGGCATCCACCAACCACTGTTTGTCTCTACTGGAGGCTAGATATAAAATGGTTTATGATTTAGCCCCAAATTCCTTATATTTTTATTTTATTTACATTTTAAAATCTCAGAATATCAAGGTCAGCAAAGAAAAGAAACATTTCTAGATGTTCCCCTACCTGACCTGAGTAGTCCTGGAATGTGATGACTTGTGACATGGCACAAATGTAATAATATTCTGTTTGACACCAGTTAGGACCCAGAAAAAAGGACTTTGCTTTACACAAAACCAAAAAGGCAGCAGAGCCATGGGGTTGTAGCTCTGGGTGGGAGAAATGTCCCTATAGAATTCTGCTTCGTTTGTTGTGGCAAAGTTATTGGCAACAGCTGAAGAGTGAAAATGCTAAAGGGAAAACTGTCACCTCAGGAACAGAGTGGAACTCTCATGGGTCCCAATGTCCTGAGACTTCCCCTTGTGTGGTGTGTAGACCTAAGGGAAGAAAAAAACATAGAGGCTTAGAGCCAGAAACATTGCAGATACAGGAAGTCCTCACTGAACATTGTAGACAGGCTCTTGAAAACTACAACTTTAAGTGAACCAACGTATCATGAAACCAATTTTATAGACTAATTGATACAAACCAGAATTAAGTTCCTAGGCATATTTCTAGTCACAAAAAAAATCACCAAACTTCTAAATAAAGACTCAAAACACTTCTAATATTAAGCATTGAAATAAATGTGAGCTCCACATACATTTAAGAATGATTAATAAAAACAAATAAGATCATTGTTTTCCAACCCACTTATCCCCAGTTCAGTGTTGCAGGGGCTGAAGTCTATCCCAGCGGCTGAGGGCACCAGGCAGGGACTCCCTTGGACAGGACGCCCTTCCATTGCAGGACGCACTCACTCACACGCGCGCGCGCACACACACACACACACACACACTCAAATGGGGCAATGTAGACACACCCATTCACCTCATAGGTACCTCTTTGGGATGTGAGAGGAAACCGGAATCCCCAGAGAAAATGTAGATGTGGAAGAACTTGCAAACTCCGCCTATACAGTGGCCCTGGCTGGGAATATATATATATTTTTTCTCATCAACTTCTGTAATGAAATGACATTGGACAAAATGACGTTATTCAAGGACCTGCTGTATTTCATCTCCAACCACCTCATCTTGTAGATGAGAGACATGAGGACAAAGCAGCAACCCCTCCTGAGCCCTCGGAGGGTTAGTGGTGCCTTCCTTTTCTCCTTCGGTCTGCCCCTAGACAGGCCTGGGCAGAGAGAGGATTGAGTTAGTCATTTCTAATTTCTTTCAGCAGTGGGCGACTTTTCTTTATGGTTTATGGTCAGAAAACAGGTAAGATTATTGTTCCTGCTGTCTTCCAGTTAAAACAACTACTTTTTGAGTGCTCACTACGTGCCCGAACTGCTCTAACCTCTGGGATGCAGGGAGGAGCAAACCAGATGAGAACCCCTGCCCTCAGGAATTTGCAGTCCAGTGGGGCAAGGGCTAGACAATAAGCAAATAAGTACAACATGTGACATGTCAAATGCCATGCTATGGTACATGCTATGGAAAAAAGCACTTCAGAAAAGGGATATGATTATCTGTGTCTATGGGAATGTGTGTTGCTATTTTAGATCAGGTGGTTAGAAAAGAATTCAGTCAGAAGGTGACATATGAAGAACCACCTGAAGGAGATGAGGGAGCAAATGCATGGGAATCTGGGGGAACAGCAATGCCAAAGCCCTGGGTGGGAGCAGGGAACACTTGGTATGTTTAAGGAACCACAGGAAGTCAGTGTCGCTGGAGCAGAGTAAGACAGCAGCAATAGATAGTATCAATGCCATAGAAGTGGGACAGTGACTCTCAAGGTGTGATTATTAAACCAGCAGCATCAGCTTTACCTGTTATAAATGTAAATTCTGGGGCCTATCTAGAACTACTGACCCAGAAACTCTAAGGGTGGCACCCGGCATGCTCAAGCTTGAGAACCACTATTGTAGAGCCTTGGAGGTCACTGTAGACCAGGTTGGACCATGTTTTAAAATCACAGCCAAAAATTCCTCAGGAAGGGCCCCGAACCATGAAAATAGACTTTAACCCACAGCTGTGTTTAAAACTGTGCTGAAGATCATTCTAGGTGCTATGGAACGGACGAAAGAAGTCACCATTACTTCATTCCTTGAATTATTCAAAAGCAAATCATTGAGGATCTTCTATCTGCGAGACACTGTGGCACATGTTATGCTGGTTGCCACTGGTACACATTACAATTAGTATCCTCGACAAAGTTTAAACTTCAAAGGGAAGATAAAGCTTTTTATTTTTTATTTTTTATTTTTTGTTCAAATACATTTGTCTCCACCTTCCTGCCACCACTTTCCCCTGCCCCCTGCCCCTACCTCCCTGGGAAGATAAAGCTTAACACACAAAACAATTGAAAAACAAAAATAAACAGAGCAGCATCAAATGTTAAAATGTTTGAGGTAGATTTTTAGGTATTAAAAAAGTGACATAGCAGTGTGGAGAGGAATCATTAGGAAAAGATTCTTGGAGAAAGGGAGCTTTATGTCCCCAAGCATCAGAAGGACAGGGTGAGAATTACAGCGTGGGCAAGGCCGTCGGACACACCCAGGCAGGGTTGAAAAGAACCAAATTCCTACTGAGAGGAGAGGCTGGGAAACAGCATTTTGTTTGCTGACTGGCAAGCAGGGGCATCGAAGTTTGTTTAAGAAAGTGAAGACAGACAAAGAAGGGTTTTCAATGCCAGTAGAACGAGTCCCAGGCAGGCTAAGACGGATACGTCAGTCCAGGGGAAGAATTGCACATGTACACTAATGACAGACTCTTTTGCGTGGTCATTACCACCCTGAAAATCCATATAAGTTGTGAAAAGTCAGATTGACATAATATAATTGGCCGTGTTGTGTGGCAGAAAAAATGTCTAAATGAAAGCTTCCTTGGGTAGTTTTGTGTTTTTAAAGCAAGATGTGTGGAAGGATGTAGTTCCTGTAGTTTAGTTCACTTCAGAGTGAGGTAGAATGGACAATGAAAAGAGCACAAGATCCCATTTGCTCAGTGTACAGACTGTCCCAACCCTATGTCATGTGCGGCCTTGGCTCCTGGAGCTCTTCCAAGCTCCACTTGTTTACCTATTTAGAGTCAAACTCTTGACACATACAACACTTTGTTGCAATCTTCAAAGTATACTTTCTTTAAGATAATCATGGGAACAAAAGGTAAAAGTAGTGAGTTGAGTACCCTCAATACATATTTTAGATGTTTATGCTCCCTCGATAGAATTTACAACACCAAATAAGACCATTTAATCACACTCTTACCAAGTTGTAATTTACAATTACCTAAATAAAATACATTCATTGATCTTCACAGTTATTTATCTTCTTCAGCACTTGATACTCAGTCAGAATTTCTGTTTTTGTTTACCTCTGTAGTGAGGAAAACTGGCACAAAATATAGGATTCCCTCATAAGTAAATTTTTTCTTATATATTTTTAGTGTAGTAGTTCTTGTCTGTTTCTAAAAGCTCATTCTATTGCACATATCATGTCAAATACTTAAAAAAAATACACAGGAACATCAGTAATTGGAGAAGGGAGATAAATAGGTGCAATAAATAAAGAAGAAAAAAAAGAACAAAAATTCATTAATAAGTGTTTGTACTTATGGTATAGAGTAGATGTTTGAACTGTCAAGGGAACTCATTTCTCACTGGAGAGGGGCAAGGCTGCCTGAACATTTGGGTGAATTGGGGTTTCATGTCTCGCCTTCACTCAGGGCACCTCCCTTCTTAAAGGGATGCATCAGTCTTGGGAACCATTTTTTTACTGGGGTGGAAGAGGAGATGGTAAGAAGTGGGTGGTTGCTAATAGTCAAGCATAGGTCACTGTGTTCTATGCCAAGTGGTTATACTAATGAGGCGTGAGTG